TCGGTGATCCATGGAGCATTCCATCTCCCTGGGTGTCACCTCAGGAATAAAGAACGCTGCATGGATCATCTCAGGAGGCTTGTTTTACCATTCCAACCATTGCCAACCAGTCACTTGTGCATTTTTTTTTCGCCTGAAGCAACACAAGTGCTCAAAATTTAAGGACGGGTGCTTGAAAACAAACTTGATGAAGTTTTAGCTCTGTGAATGCTGTGCATTCAGAGGAAACAATATTCTAGGATCTCAATTTCAATTCAAAAACTGCCGGGTCATATTTTGAATTGCGCCCAAAATCAGCATCCAAGCCAAGTTCTCATTCAGCTGATTGCAGCTATGTGATGTCACACGATAACCCATGAATGATAGCAACCTCACACCTGTGTGTGTCGTGTCAACGCTTGTGCACATCCATTCACAGATTTGCCAAATTACAAACCAACTACTAGCGGAAATTTCCAGAAATGTGTCATCTGACATATATTTGGAAACGGCCTTCTTATATTGTTTTCTTCACAATGACAGCATGTTATGCCAGAAAGAATAACTTCACAGGCAGTCCGACAAGCTTTACTAAGGGTTGCTTTTCTATTTTTATTGTAATATTCCTACTTGGGCCTCGATCATGTGTGGCTGGACTCTGATGTTCTTTAAATAACGGGCTATTCTCGTGGCCAAGATTTAACAAAAAGCCAAGCCACCTTTCCCCCTACCATCTGCTAGTTTTTCTACTACAACTGGTAACAGTCATTCCTATTGTAGGCATGCATGAAACCTAGGGTATTTTTCCTAATTTTTAGCTTTGTATCCATGGGCGTCACCAGGAGTTTTTCTAGAGGGGGGCAAAACATAATTTTCCCAAAAAACTCTTGTATTTCTCAACATATTCTCGATTGATCAGTTCTAGTGGGGGGCAGAGACACTCCCCCCCCAACCAATTAAATTTTCACCGCTATGACTTTTTTTTTGGTGGGGGGGGGGGGAGCGCCCCCCTCGCGACGCCCATGTTTGTATCATGGATACCTTAATACATCCTACTTTCAGTTCTCATTTTCAACCCTCCTTTTCCATTTTCATATCTTTCAAAGTATAAAATCGAAGGCCTATTTGTAGGCATTTTTAACAGTTATACATGCAAAAGGATTTACAACAATGCATGCAGTGGTGATATTTGTGCAATGTCCATTTTGTGCTTCTGTAGACAGAGTTAGGTGGCCTGTTTGAACTGTGGACTTTAATTTTAATATCATTTGCAGCATTGTTAGTGTGTAGGCCTATACTGAACTTGAGTAAAGATCATTATCATAGTGTTGCTATCTTTACGGTACTGTGTGACAAAAATAGCAACTGGATTTTCCAGTGTTGAGTAAAGGAGTGAATTAATTAGCTGTTGTTGCACCATTCATCGCTTGAAGAGGCCTGACATGTACACGTATAAACCTAGGCTTACAGAACTTTACAACTTGCAAGTTAATTGATGGTAGTTTTGCCATCCTTTTCTTTTTTTTTCACATTTGACGGAAGTTTCACGTTTGTGGTGGAAAACCGTGGCTAACTGTTGATCCAGATAAAGTAGGTGAGTTTTGGCGTTTTGGCTGGATTATAATTGGTCTTTGCTTTTTGTGTGTTTCGCTTTGTTTTTTGGAACATGTCAAATGTAGCCTATAGGCCTACCAGGAAAATTATGCCTGAGATTTGCCGGAATGTTTAGCATTTGAGTGCATGTGATGCGCGAGTAGGTATGCTTGTTATTAACATGACGCTTTTTAAAAATATCGAATTCTCTTTTCTGAATTGAAGTCTAAAAATACAAGTCTATGTCTTTTCACTTTTGGGCCTACTCCCATTATTTTTATTTCTCAGAGTTGTAATGACTCTAGTCATTGACTCGACTCAAGTCCGACTCGAGTCACAATATTTGGTGACTCGACTCGACCTTAGTCCCTAAAGGAAAATGACTCAACTCGACTTGAGTTGTACTGCGAGCAAATGACTAGACTCGACTCGAGTGCCTCATCTGAATGACTTGACTCGACTCGAGGAAGGCTAATAAGATCCTTTCCAGAAAATAAAAGCAAAACTTTGCGAAAAGTATTTCCAATGACTTACACCGGTGCCGATTTTTGTTCACGTCACGTTAGAATGTTTGTGAATATATACATGGTTTGATCAGTGTCCCCATTTGTTGAATGGGATCATCTGGCACCACCTTTATATTTTCATTAAGAGTCAAATGCGGTGTCACCACGTGTAGAAGCCCAAACGAAAATGAAAAAAAGCAAAAAAAAGACTCTCTCTCGTGACTATTTATTGTATAGTGTTCAAATATTTGTGACTCAAATTGACTCGAGCTACATAATTGACTTGACTGGACTCGACTACAAACTGTGACTCAACTTGACCTTCTTGACCTAATGACTCGACTCGAGTCGTGTCACTTCTTAAAATGACTTGACTTGACTCAAGTCACAAAAATCAGTGACAACTCTGTTATTTCTGCATATTAAAAGATATCGGCCATTTATCCGTGTATTAAAGAACAGTAAACAGCCGATGTTCATTTTTAACTCCCAATGAGTTAGCGGGCAGTCAATTAGTCAGTGTAAATACAAATGTATCCCAGGCTGGTGTGCCGTAAAAGAGATGGGTTCATGGGCGTCGCCAGGATTTTTTCGAGAGGGGGCAAAAATAACTTTTGCCAAAAAATGCTTGTATTTCTCAACACATTCTCGATTTATCAGTTTTAGAGGGGGGCAGGGACATTTTGCCCCCCCCCCCCCCAACTCATTAAATTTACTCCACTTTGTCTTCGTGCCTCTTTTTCTTTCTTTTTTTCCCTTTTCTTTCTTCCTTTTTTTTTTTTTTTTTTTTGCTTTTCCGGGGGGGGGGGGGGGGTGGGTGGGCCAAGTGCCCCCCTTGCCCCCCTCCTCGAAACGCCCATGGATGGGTTGGGGCATAGGGGTGTGCACTTATGGGTATAGTAAAGGAACCGGGTACCCTAGAAAAAAATATCGGACCCGGGTACCCGTTAAAGAAACCCAAGCTAAATATTCAAATCTGGGAAGTTGCTGTTCAGATTGTTCATAAAAGTCTGCACGATAATACTACCACATTGGTGTGGCAATACGGCTAGATATGGTGTATACAGTGAGATCTTTAGCTATGTGGTGAAAACTGCAACTTTGGCAAGCATCATAAAACATGAAATTAGTTTTGGTTTTCCATGTATCCTTTTTTTTATTTTGAAATTTTCCCAATGACATTCCAAACATTTCTTTTTCATTGACTGAGAAGTTAAGTAATTTGTAAAGTTGGTTACGGGTACTCGATTCCATAATCTGGAACCGGTTCCTGACATTAACGGTCGGGTACTCGGGTACCCGGTCCCGGTCTGATGATGCACAGTTGTATGGGGCAATCACCTGTTTGTGATGATTTTGAACTGTTTCAGACACAGAGGTTTGTTCTCTCTTGATTAGGTTACACTTGAAATATGGCGGAGGCTGCAGCCAATATTTCAAGTATTGAAGAACAGTAAACGGCCGCTGTTAATTATTTGTAACTCCCAATGAGTTAGCGTGCAGTCAATCAGTGTAAATGAGTAATTCTATAATTTAGGGGTCAAATACGAAAAGTTGCCTTTTTTGTTTTATAACTAAATAGGAAATGTATTAAAGTTAATGATACTTTATGTGTAACAAACTCCAATAAAGTTGCATTGATAAAACCTACAAATTTGTTATCTTGATCCCATTTAGTTCCTGTTTTGATTAAAAAATAAAGCCGAAAATTCCCATATTTGTGGCTAAAAAGTGGGACAAAAATTAGTCTCAAAAAAATTACATTTTTGTCTCCTTAAAAGGTAAACTATGCCATTTTTTAGGTTAAAATGATGGATAGGAGTAACTCAATTTCAACATTAGATACCATTTTTAAAGAAATAGATGTGTGAAGATGTGATGTGGTGCTCCCCAATATTATGGTTTCACATGTAACATTTGGTGTCCCCTGGTGTCCCTGTTACGTGTGAACCAATTCTGCTGTTAGAAGTGTCTTGCATGATTACATTGCTTACTTTTCCTTGGTATTTAACCAATTCTGTCCATTAAATAAAAGGCTAAAGAAAAAACAAGACAGCAATGCTAAGAAACAAAAATTCTATGACCATTTGTAATGTTGAAATAATTTCACACGTAACATGGTGTCCTGTGGTGTCCCATTTACGTGTAAAGCCGAGTGTTTTTAATATTCCAGATGACATGAAGTTGTTAAGGATCTCCTTTCTGCACTTTACCATCCTGATGGAAGTAAATACATTTCATATTATGAAAAGCAAGATTGACCATAATTAAAATAACTTCAAGTTTTTGAGCCCTTTTAATGCAATGTCCCATTTTGGACCCCTAATTTATAGAATAACCCAAATACAAATGTACGTATCCCAGGCTGGTTTGCCGTAAAAGAGATGGGTTGGAGCATATAGGGGTGTGTACTTGGTTAGTACAGAAACCAGGTACCCTATTGAAAACAATATGGGTACCCTATTGAAAAAATATGGGTACGCGGTACCCGTTAAAGTAATTCAGATTGTTCATAAAGGTCCGCATGATAGTACTACCACATCGGTGCGGCAATTATAGGCTAGATAGGGTGTATACAGTGAGCGCTTTAGCTATGTGGTGAAAACTGCAACTTTCGCAAGCATCATAAAATGTGAAATCGGTTTTGGTTGTCCATGTCTCCTGTTTTTATATTTTGAAATTTTCCCAGTGACATTCGAAACACTTCTTTTTCCTTGACTGAGAAGTTACCAAGTAATTTGCAAAGTTGGTTACGGATACTCGATTCCATAATCTGGAACCGGTTCCTGATATTAACGGTCGGCTACTCGGGTAACCAGTTCCGATGCACAGCCCTTAAATGGGCAATCACCTATTTGTTATAATTTTGAACTTATTCAGACATGGAGGTTTGTTCTGTTTTGATTAGGTCACACTTCAATTATGGCGGAGGCTGCAGCCAAAACTGTGTGGAAGATCAGCCAGGGGCATCTGGAATGTCCGATCTGTTGCTGTCTTTTCAAGGATCCCAAGATACTGGACTGTCTGCACAGCTTCTGCCTGAAGTGTCTGGAAGAGATGATGAGCAAACAGAAGCCAGAGGCAGAAAAGATAACATGTCCAGTCTGCAGGAGAGAGACGCAAGTTCCTGGTGGAGGATTGCAGAGTCTTTCTTCATCTTTCTTTCTTAGTTCTCTTGTCGATGAGGTCAAACAACAGGAGGCAGTATTAGGGGAAGCATCGGCAACTACCGCCACTTGTGACTGTGGAGAAGGCACGGAGGCCACTTGGAGGTGTCTTGATTGTAGTGATAACCTCTGCCAGAAATGCCGGAAAGCTCATGAGAGGGTCAAGTCCACCAGAGACCACCAAATCATTTTATTGGGAGATTGGCAGGAATCAAAGATGCCTCCAGCAGAGCATATCAAACCAATCACCCGAATGTGTACGCTCCACAGTGACCGGAAGTTGTGTTTCTTCTGTGAAAAATGCGACACTGTAATCTGCCCAATGTGTGTCGCATTAGATCATCGGTCGGTAGAGCACAATTTGCTAAAGATTGATGACCTGATCAGGTCCTTCCGCAATGAAGTTGATAACATACTGCAGAAGTTCGAGAAGTGCAGGCAGCGCTTCAAATGTACTGAAAAGTCAATCGAACATGCACGAAATAGATTGCAAAAAAACTGGCTCAGGCTCGTAGTGATATTGATGCAAAAGCAGAGGCAGAGATCACTAAAATCAGAAACAAAGCAAAGCTTCTCACCAAAAAGGTTGACAAAATCGGTCAAGAGAGAGACAGTGAGTACAAAAAGGCGCTTACGCACAACCGAGACCAGATGGAACGCGCAGATCAGACCATCGCGGCAGTAAATGACTTGATGAGTCAAGCCGATGATTTCGAGCTTTTGGAGCTCAAGCCAAAGGTGATGCACAACTTGGAATTCCAGAAGGAGCTCAAGTTTGAACCAGCGAATCATGGGCCGTCGTTCATCGGTGTCAGATGTCAAGACGTTGTGAGTGACGCAGATCTTGGGGAGGTCTGTGTCAGCGAGAAATGGCAGTTAAAGGAAGAGTTCGGCAAAGAAGGTACCGCTGACTGGGAATTTAAAGGCGTCAGGGGTGTTGCATGTTTCACAAACAGGGACATTGTAGTAACTGACACAATTTTGCAGCGGTTATCATTGTTTAGCTCAACTGGTCGGTATAAAACATCGGTTGCTCAGGGAGATGCTAGGCATCAGTTGCAAGCTCCTTATGGCATTGCCGTGTCCCATAATGATTTGCTTTTCGTCACGGACAAAAAAAAAGTGAAGGTTTTTGATACTGAGCTCCAGTTTGTTCGCGAGTTTACACCTTCGGCTGACGATGCCAATGGGCGATCAAAGAGTTTCCTCACTGCTGTTGCTGTTGACAGTCAACGAGTAGCAGTCGCTGACTGGGGGAGAAAGCTCATCAGTGTCCACAACCTGGACGGATCGTCAATTTCAAGCATCTCAAATAGCATGGTTGACTATTACTCAGCAATAAGCGATTGTGGCTGTTTAGTCTTCACAAATTATGAGGGCCAAAGTTTGCTGTGCGTCAACTTTAAAGGTAAAGTGATGTTCAGTGTCAAGACATTCATGAATGGCAAAGCTGCTAAGCAAACTGGTGTCCTGTGCGATGATGATGAGACCATCTATGTCGCCGTTCATTACGGAGGTAGGGGAGGCTTTGAAGTGCAGCGTTATAATTCAAATGGTGCATTTGTAGCAACGGTAGCTCAAAGGTTGCACAATCCGTTAGGAATGGCATTCACCCCCGCTGGTGACGTAGTTGTCGCTGACCAACACTCCGTTAAGATCTTTGAGCGGATGTGATTTGCCTGATCATGGCCCCTCTGAAAAACTAACTGCTGCACTTGAACCAAGGCTAACCTACATCCAATGATTTGCCTTACGAGGCCCCGCAGCACATGACATGTTGTACTTGAACAAGGGCTACTCCAGAAATTATAATATTTACCCAGATTGTAAAACCCGTTTCGAAATTGAATTAACTGGTAACGTTAATGTGTTTTAGTTAATCTCCCTCAATGTATTTCAGCATGTGCGTTGGCCTGAGTGGGCTTATGGGTGTACTCTCCATGGGCGTAGCAAGGTTATACTTTTTATTGTGGGGGGGGGGTTAACAATTTCTTGAAAAGACACTTGGACATCTGAAATGTCACCTTTTTTTCTCCAGACACGCAGAGCATCTGTAAAATCAAATAGTTGCGGGGGGGGGGGGGAGAGGCAACATCTGTCGATGGGGCCGCTGTTGAATACCGACAATTATGCACACTAAGGTCAATGTATGATCTTGCTTTTCAGTGCGTTACAATCGCTAAATTCAAAAAAAGGCACTCGTAATGGCCAATGGCACATAAAAGGGCAAAACTTTTTTAAAAAGGGCAGTTGTTTAGAAAAAAATATGGAATTGTTCACAACAGAAGGCCACTCTTTACAAATATTAGGGGGGAGGGTTAAGTGCTGGTGAAAAAGGGCATTTGAATAAAAACGGGCAGTCGTTACAAAATTGGGGGAGGGGTGTAAATGTTTACCCCCTGCCCCCCACTGGCTATGCCTATGCTCTCCAATATTAAAGTCGGAAAGAAAAATCCAAGTATAAACAGTGGAGAAAGAAGAAAAATGTTAAATGTTTCTTTAACCATATTACAGTTTTTGATGACAAACATTTTTGAGATTGAAGGGACCGTAACTTTTCAACATTCGACATTCAATTCACAAAATTGATTTTACTACTGCAATGTTGTAAAATATGGTCATCACTGTACATGTTATAATAATAAAAAATCCATAATTTTTATGTTATGTAATATATGAAAAATCTTAATCTTAAAGAAGCGAATATTGCCAATCTTCATTTTGTAGAAGTACATTGTATATAAAACACAATGGCATGTGACTATGTAAATATTTGATTTAAAGCTTTGTTCATTTTGCATGTATAAATCCTTGGATCACAAAACTGACGACCTATCACACAAACCATTTGTGCAGTGTCTGTTTTGTGCTTCTGTAATTAATGCAGACAGACCAGGGGCGGATCCAGACTGCCATTTACCAGGGAAGCAAGGGCGGATCCACAACACAATTTCGGAGGGGTCAAAAAAATTTTGGTCCCCCAAAAAAGTGGGTAAAAAAAAAAAAATTTTGGATTCTAGATGCTCTGTGGTGCGATCTGAGGCAATTTCTGACCAATTTAACCAATGTTTTTTTGAGGAAAAGCTGGTGGTGTACTCATTGCCTGCCTTTATTGCGATGTCACATAAAAAAAAAATTGGTTTCGTGGGTTTTTTTTTGGGGGGGGGGGGGGGTGGATCCGCCCTTGCGGGAAAGGGGGGCTAGAATTGTAATGAAGGGTCCAGGACCTGCGAGCGCAGAGCGCGAAGCCCTTACGGCGTGGGGTCCGGGCCCTTAAGGGCCCCGGAAAACTTTGGATTTTAGATGCTCTGTGGTGCAATCTGAGGTGATTCCTGGCCACTTTCCACCTTCTGTATTCAAAGCTTAAAGTTGAGAACATGCACATAATTTGAAATTGTTCGGTGCTCGGTCACATAATTTACATGAATTTAAATATTTCATGACAGCGGATGCATATATGGGGAGTGTGACAAACTGGCATGAAACGTATCAGAAAAATATTTTAATAGAATCTGAAGTGGCCATTGTTTGATTTTGTTTAGTCACCAAGCCCGGAGCGTGAAAACGGTTTGACCTTCATACGCATTGTACGCAGCAGTTGTCAGCGTGCAGTCTAATGGACGTATGACGCGCTAAAAGAAATATGCGAAATGAGACTCCACTACAGTTACCTTGGTTTATCCGCGTATCTTGCGGCCATCATAACCCGCACATAAAGTCTTAGGAGGTGCGTGAAAATTGCCACGCCTTTTGAACGATTGTTCATCCTCAAACTCAAAATGCGTGACCCGTCGGATCACCATCCGTTTTTCACCGATTAACTTATACATTTTAAAATATTTGCCGGGGGGCGTGCTGGATCCGCCAGTGCAGACGGCATGTTCTAACTCCGAACTTGAATCAATAGTGTTTGTATTGTTGGTACTGGAACAGTTATGTATGACATTGGCTTTTTTCCCTTGTTTCAAGTTTTTTCTGTCAATCCATTTTTGTATACCTTAGTTTTTCTCATAATATTCTGCTAAAACATTAACCAATTGTTGATTTTCTCCTTGGCAAATTCTTATTTGAGATTTTTACTTCGTTGTTTGATCCTGATTGAGATTTCTTTTGAAGAATATGTTATTTCAGGATTTAAATTATTATTGTATGTAATTTTTTTTGGTAGGAATTTCTTTTCTAATGAGACTTAATTAAATTGATGAGAAGTTTATTTTGTTTCCTTGATTCTGTTTCTTCATTGTCCAAGTTTCTAAAAGTAAATCGCGACCTAATCACTTGAACCAGGTTTTTGCTTAGTGAGCCATTTTTCGCCTTTATACACAGCCAAAAAGACAATTCAACGACTAAAAGGACTAGTACTATGCATGTAGCAACCTACATAGCAACAGCAGAGTGTGCATATGCACATGTGTTTTGCCTGTTGCGCTTTTGTTCCCTCATATGCTACAAAGTTAGGTTCAAACATTTCATGTATTGGGTAGTTTGGGAAAAGTGCAAGGAAATTGTCAGTTACGTTCATATTGAAATTGATGTATGTTTGCAAGAGATTTGGATTAGATTATTAAGTTTTCTCTCAAAAACAAGCAGAATCTGTGGGTGGGGCGCTATAAAAAAAATATAGACTGCTTTAAACTTGAAGTGTTTAGCCTACCTCGGTGATCCATGGAGCATTCTATCTCCCTGGGTGTCGCCTCAGGAATAAAGAATGCTGCATGGATCATCTCAGGAGGCTAGTTTTACCACACCAACAGTAATTTGTGCATTTTTCCCATTTGAAGCAACAAAAGTGCTCAAAATCTAAAGATGGGTGCTTAACAACTACCTGATGAAGTTTTAGCTCTGTGAATGCTGTGTACAAATCAGAGGAAATAATATTCTAGGATCTCAATTTTAATTAAAAAGTTGCCGGTGTAGCATGAATTTAATTTTTATGAAATACGGACTCATTGGTGGTATTTTGCATGCTCATGCATAGATAATTAGGAGAGGGACCGGTCATCTGAGAGGGTTTCACCAAAAAAAGGGAAAAAGAGTCCGATTTTCACACGAGTCCGATTTTTATATGACACCGGGTCACATTTTGAAATGCGCCCAAAATCAGCATCCGGGACACGTTCTCATTTAGCTGATTGCCGCAGAGCTATGTGTGTCAAACACTGAACTGACAAATGATAGCAATGGTGTGCGCGTGTGCGTCGTGCCAATGCTTGCGCGCACCAATTCACAGATTCGCCTAATTACAAACCAACTACTAACGGAAATTTCCAAAAATGTGTCATTTGACATATTTTTGGAAATGGCCTTCTTTTATCGTTGTCTTCACAATAACAGCGTAATCTCAGAGAAAGAATAATTTCACAGGCTGTCCGACCAGCTGTACTAAAGTTTGTTTTTCTGGGTTTTTTTGCTGTAATGACCCTACTTGGGTCTCGATCATTTTGTGCCTGGACTCTAATGTTCTTTAAATATTGGGCTATTCTTGTGTACAGGATTTAACAAAAAGCCAAGCCACCTTACCCCTACCATGTGCTATTTTTTCTACTACAACCAGTAACATTCACTTCAATAGGTATATATTTCCTGCTTTTTAGCTTTATATCTTGGATACTTTAACACATCCTCGTTTCTAGTTCTTATTTTTAAACCTTATTTTTAACATGTATACATGTATACATGCATCAGGAGTTATAAAAACACATGCAGTGTTGATATTTGTGCAATGTCCATTTTGTGCTTCCGCAGACAGAGTTGCCTGTTTGAACTGTGAACTTGAATCAATGGCATTTTCAGTGCTTGTTCGTATGTTTGTATGTGGGCCTATATTGAACTTGAATAAAGACCATGATCGTAGTGTTGCTTTGTTATGGCACTGTGTGACACAAATAGCGACTGTTTTTTCTTGTGTTGGGTAAAGGAATTTAGCTGTTGTTGCACCATTCATCACATGAGGATAAAGTATAGGCATGACATGTACACATTATAAGCCTAAGGTTTACAACTTACAAGTTGATGGTACTAGTTTTGCCATACTTTTTTTACATTTGGTGGAAGTATTATGTTTGTGGTGGAAAACTTCAGCTAACTGTTGATCCAGTTGAAGTAGGTGAGTTCATTACATACAGCATTTTGGCTGGATTTTGCATGAGTCTTTTCTTTTCGTGCGTTCGCTTTGTTTTTGAACATGTTAAATATAGCCTATAGGCCTACCAGGAAAATTATGCATGAGATTTGAAGGAATGTTTAGCATTTCGGTAAATGTGTTGAGTGAGTAGCTGTTCCTTTCCACCAACGTTTGAAATAAACATGATGCTTTTTAGAGAAAAACATATTGAATTCTCTTTTCTGAATCGAAGTCTGAAATCTAAGTCTATATCTAAGGTCCTGTTTTAAATTAGGGCCTATACTCCCATTTTATTATTTCTAACTCCCAATGAGTTAGCATGCAGTCAATGTATACAAATGAATCTCCTGTTACATTTATATTTCCAGGCTGGTACAGTGTGCGGTAAAAGAAATGGGGGCATAGGGGTGTGCACTTACGGGCAGTAAAGGAACCGGGTAGTAATCTATTGAAACAATATGGGTACCCAGGTACCTGTTAAAGAAACCCAAGCCAAACATTCAAATCTGGGAAGTTGCTGTTCAGATTGTTCATAAAGGTCTGTATGATAATACTACCACATTGGTGTGGCAATACAGCTAGATAGGGTGCATACAGTGAGCTCTTTAGCTATGTGGTGAAAACTGCAACTTTCGCAAGCATCATAAAATCCTGTTTTTCATTTTGAAATTTTCATACTGACATTCAAAACATTTCTTTTTCATTGACTGAGAATTTACTAAGTAATTTGCAAAGTTGGTTACGGATACGGATTACATAATCTGGAACCGGTTCGGGTAAACTACCGGGGATCCGGTGCACAGCTGTATGGGGCAATCACCTGTTTGTTATAATTTTGAACTTTTTCAGACACGTAGATTTGTTGTGTTTCGATTAGGTCACACTTGAAAAATGGCGGAGGCTGCAGCCAAAACTGTGTGGAAGATAAGCCAGGCACATCTGGAATGTCCCATCTGTTGCTGTCTTTTCAAGGATCCCAAGATGCTAGACTGTCTACACAGCTTCTACCTAAAGTGTCTGGAAGAGATGATGAGCAAACAGAAGCCAGAGGCAGAGAAGATAACATGTCCAGTCTGCAGGAGAGAGACGCAAGTTCCTGATGGAGGATTGCAGAGTCTAGCTTAATCTTTCTCTCTGAGTTCTCTTGTCGATGAGGTCAAACAACAGGAGGCGGTACTAGGATAAGCATCAGCACCTACCACCACATGTGACTGTGGAGAAGGCAAGGAGGCCACTTGGAGGTGTCTTGATTGTAGTGATAACTTCTGCCAAGAATGCTGGAAAGCCCATGGGAGGTTCAAGTACACCAAAGACCATCAAATCATTTCATTGGGAGATTGGCAGGAATCAAAGTTGCCTCCAGCAGAACATAGCAAACCCATCACCCGAATGTGTACGATCCACACTGACCAAAAGTGGTGTTTCTACTGCGACACCTGCGACACTTTAATCTGCTCAATGTGTGCAACATTAGATCATCGGTCGGCAGAGAACAATCTGCTAAAGATTGATGACACTATCAGGTCCTTCCGCAGTGAGGTTGATAACATACTGCAGAAGTTCGAGAAGTGCAGGCAGCGCTTCAAATCTACTGAAAACTCAATCGAACATGCACAAAAAAGATTACAAAACAAACTAGCTCAGGCTCGTAGTGATATCGATGCAAAAGCGAAGGCAGAGATCACTAAAATCAGAAACAAAGCAAAGCTTCTCACTGACAAGGTCGACAAAATCGGTCAAGAGAGAGACAATGAGTACGAAAAGGCGCTCATGCACAACCGTGACCAGATGGAACGCGCAGATCAGACCATCGCAGCTGTAAATGACTTGATGAGACAAGCCGATGATTTCGAGCATTTGGAGCTCAAGCCGAAGGTGATGCACAACTTGGAATTCCAGAAGGAGCTCAAGTTTGAACCAGTGAATCATGGTCCGTCATTCATCGGTGTCAGATTTCAAGACGTTGTGAGTGATGCAGAGCTTGGGGAGGTCTGTGTCAGCGAAAAATGGCAGTTAAAGGGAGAGTTCGGCAAAGAAGGTACCGGTGACAGGGAATTTCAATTCGCCAGGGGTGTTGCATGTTTCAGAAACGGGGACATCGCAGTAAATGACATAATTTTGAAACGGTTATCGTTGTTCAGCTGAACTGGTCGGTATAAAACATCAGTCGCTCAGGGAGATGCTAGCAATCAGTTGGAAGCTCCTTTTGGTGTTGCTGTGACCCATGATGATCTGCTTTTCGTCACGGACAAAAAGAAAGTGAAGGTGTTTGATACTGAGCTCCACTTTGTTCGCAAGTTTACACCTTCGGCTGACGATGCCGATGGGCGATCAGAGAGTTACCTCACTGCTGTTGCTGTTGACAGTCAGCGAGTAGCAGTCGCTGACAAGGGGAGAAAGGTCATCAGTGTCCACAACCTGGACGGATCGTTGATTGCAAGCATCTCAAATAATATGGTCGAACATTTCTTGACAATAAGCAGTTTAGGCTGTTTAGTCCTCACAAACCTCCAGGGCCAAAGTTTGCTGTGCGTTAACTTTGAAGGTAAAGAGATGTACAATGTCAAGACATTAGTGAATGGCGAAGCTGCTAAGCCAACTGGTGTCCTGTGTGATGATGATGAGACCATCTATGTCGCTGTTCATTACGGAAGAAGCAGAGTTGATGAAGTGCAGCGATACGATTCAAATGGTGCATTCGTAGCAACAGTAGCTCAAGGGTTGTACAATCCGATAGAAATGGCATTCACCCCGCTGGTGACGTAGTTGTTGCTGACCGATACTCCGTTAAGATCTTTGAGCGGATGTGATTTGCCTGATTATGGCCCTCCGAAAAACTAACCGCTGTACTTGAACCAGGGCTAAGCTGCATCCGATGATTTACCTTACAAGGCCTGGCAAAACATTACTATCGTAGTTGAACCAGGGGTATATACATCTGCTACATTCCTGATATTACAACATTTACCCAGATTGTAAAACCCGTTTGAAATTGAATTAACTGGTAATTTCGGCATTTGCGTTTTATGTCTTTTAAACATTTTGCAAACACTGGCCTTTTTTTACTGTTTTTTTTTCCACTGACACTTTAATCCATATAGGATTGTCTAGTCTAGGGGCTAGACTGTTATGGTTTGATACAAGAAGTATTTCGGCATGTGGGTTGGCCTGAGTGGGCCTATGGTGTACTCTCCATGGGTGGGCATAGCAAGGTTTTTTATGGGGGGGGGGGGTGAAAAAGGCACTTGGACATCTGTGCTGAAATGTCATCATTATTTTTCCTTACACTAGGAGTCTGTAAAATCAAAAAGGGGGTGGGGGGGGTGGGGGAAGGCAACATCTGTTGATGAGGCCGCTATTGAAAACCGACAATTATGCACACTAACGGACAATGTATGGTGCTTTTCAGGGAGATACATGAGGGGCAAAAATGGGGCGGTTGTTCAAAAAAAAGGCACTTGTTAACACCAGAAGGGCACTCTCTACAAATATTGGTGCGGGGGGGGGGGGTGGTTAATAAGTGCTGGCGAAAAAGAGGGCATTTGAAGGGAAAAGGGCAATTTTTACACAATTTGGGGGGGGGGGGGTGAGTAAATGTTTCCCCCCCAAAAAACTGGCTACGCCTATGCTCTGCATTAATAAAGTCGGAAAGAGAACTCCAATTGTAAACAGTGGAGATAGAGAAAAAGCGTTCAATGTTTCTTGAACCGTATAACAGTTTTTGCTGACAAACTATTTTGAAGTTGAAGGGACCATTACTTCTTAACTTTCGACATTCAATTCACAATTTGAATTTACTACTGCAATGTTATAAAAAATTGGTCATCAATGAAAATAAGTCCATAACATTTATGTTAGTAGAAATCCTAATGAAGTGTATTTCGCCAATCTTCATTTTGTAAAAGTAAATGAAACACAATGACACATGACTATGTAAATATTCAATTCAAAGCTTTGTACATTTTGCATGTTTTATTTTGTTAATTCTTGGAATCACAAAACTGACGACCTAAAACACAAAACATTTGTGAAATGTCCATTTTGTGCTTCCATTGTTGAGACTGCCTCACTGAACTCTTAACTTTAATCAATAGCGTTTGTATTGTTGGTACATGACGTTGGCTTAGCGCCTACATATGTACAGTGTATATGTACGTACCGGTTGTGTTCAGTGAGATTAAAATAGCAACTGGTTTTTCCCATGATGAGTTATGCTATTACTATCTAAAACCAAGTAAGCTTTCACGCCAAATGGGGATATTGCAATCGCCTATACCTTCTGCGTGTCTGCGTTTGTTTCTGCATTCAACATGTTCAATAGGGGACGTTGAACAATAGAGGACAATAAGCTCCCCAATTCCTAAGAGGTCCCCAATTTGGATTCGTGTACATCACATATGGGATGTCTTCCTAAAAAGTACAAACAAAAGAGGGACAAAAGGGGGTCCCTAATTACAGGCAAATACGCACTTATGCGTGTGTGTATGTTCCAGTTAACTGTATAAAGTTCAGTCAACAATTTCAACCAAACTTGAAAGGTGGTCTGTGGAGAGAAGGTTGACGTAAAACAAAGTCCTTTCCAATATGGATGTTTACGAGGTCTCTTGGTAGCGCAGCTCAGATTCTTACTAACTGCCTGTACATGTACACAAACTGACTGACATATGTTAGATTCATTAGACCTCATAAATATCTGTGTCGGGAAAGGATTTTTTGACGTCGGCTTTCTCTTCACGGACTTGCGGTGATATTGTGGGTTTCAAGGAGATTTTGTTTTCCTTGTAGGATAATCCTGTGTGTATATAACCAAGGTTGAGTTTTGAATTATAGCTAGTGAATATTTATCTATGTTTTATGGTTTGATTCAATTTCATGCTGTAAGCACCTGTTTTACAAAAATGCTTTAGTCGAGCAGTTCTTCGCTTGTTCTTCAAGTCGTTTGTCTGTGATTTGCTTGTAATATCTGGACCACCTGTTGGTTGTTTCAGTTGACGCAAACATATGTACATGTGCCTATATACACTTCTTCACAGCCCAATATTTTCGGTACCATACACATGTACATGTACATCTGACTTGGATGACGGTCCTACATGACAGATGTCGCTAAAACAATTGACCTATCGCCGTTTGCGATTCCGCTGCGATAGGTCAATTGTCGAAACAGCATGTGCCAGGGGCATCGCGCAAGTTTGACTTGCAGTATTTTTTTCTGTCAATCCATTTTTCAGTTACACTTTAATTTTTCTCTTATTCTCCTAAAATTTTATCTAATTGTTTATTTTACTCCTTGGCAAATTCCTTTTTGAGTTTTTTTATTCGTTATTTGTTCCAGATGAGATTTCTTTTGAAGTATTTGTTATTTAAGGATTTACATTTTTTTTTTGCATGTGAAGGATTTTTTATGAGATTAAATTAAATTTTGAGAACTTTATTTTGTTTCCATGATCCTATTCTTCATTGTCCAAGTTTCTAAAAGTAAATCCTGACCTAATCATGTGAACCAGGATTTCTGCTTAGTGAGCCATTTTTTGCCTTTACACACAGCCAAAAAGACAACACAACGACTAAATAGACTATTCAAGGCATGTAGCAACCAACATAACAACAGCAGAGTGTGCATATGCACATGTGTTTTGCCTGTTGCACGCTTTGTTCCCTCATGTGCTACAAAGTTAGGTTCAAACATTTCATGAAGGGGTAGTTTCGAAAAGTGCAAGGAAATTTTCAGTTACGTTCATATTGAAATTGATGTACGTTTGCAAGAGATTTGGATTAAATTATTAAGTTTTCTCTCAAAAACAGGCAGAATCTGTGGGAGGGGCGCTTTAAGAAATAAACTGCTTTAAACTGGGAGTGTAGTGAAACTAGCCTCCCATGGTGATCCATGGAGCATTTAATTTCCCTGGGTGTCACCTCGGGAATCAAGAGCGCTGAATGGATCATCTCAGGAGGCTAGTTTTACCACAGCAACCAGTCATTTGTGCATTTTTCCCATTTGAAGCAACAAAAGTACTCAAAATCTAAAGACGAGTGCATAACAACCTGATGAAGTTTTAGCTCTAAATGCTGTGTATTCAGAGGAAACACTAATATAGGATCTCAATTTCATTTCAAAAGTTACCGAGTCTTACGGGGTGATTCAAAAAATAAAGTTGTGAAGGCCCCCCCCCCCCAAGCCAAATCCTGGGTGCGCCACTGCCTATTGTAGGCATTTTAACAGTTATACTCAATTTTACTACTGAATGATCAAATTATTTATAAGCAGTAAAATTTGAAATGGATCTCCTCCGGTAATTATATTATAGGTGTTGTGCAAAATGAAGGCTAACTCCATGCAAACATCTCACTGTGAATGCATTACAAACTGTACTTTCCTATGGAGAACTTTGTACATGAAACCCCATAGACAAATTTGTGACAAAAGTGGGATCCTGTAAACAGGAGAATAGCCAATCAATAGCCACAAACTGTAACCAATTGCTGAGAAGGGTTGGAGGGGCAACCAGCCAACAAGAGATCTTGTTCTGTGACACTTGGCAAGGCCTGCTATGGGCCAATGAGAAGTAGGGTTGGTTCTTTACATCCTAGAAGTAGAAAGTTTAGGCGGGAAGGAAAAATTGCTAGGCAGTCACTTTTGTCTCAGCCTCTGAAGAAACAACTTGTATAGTCAATTTTACCTCACAATTTTTAATTCTACTACTCATTAAATTACCTACATAATGTTGCACACTGTGCTATGTCTTACCTAAGTATTATTTACAAAATTGTAATGGCAGGAGAAAAAAAAACACTTAAAGAACCATGGGGTGTTTGATCCGCTTCAAAAAATGCCACAAGCACAGGGCCTTTGTGGGTGCCCAAAAACCTGAAGAGCTATGGTCTCCCGAGTCAAATGGTGCTTCGATGAGCTATTGGTGCTCTGGGCCTTTGAGGTGCCTAAAATGTGCTGCATGCATGATGGGTCGGCTGCCCAGATTTCAGTACCCGACATTTTTTGAATAAAAACCTTCTGACTGAGGCGTGCACACACAAAATGATCTGTGTTGCTTGTGATTTTTTATTTGTCTGCTTATAAATGTAAAGGAGTTATACCATTGCATACAGTGGTGATATTTGTGCAATGTCCGTTTTGTGCTTCAGTAGACATAGGTAGGTTTGAACTGTAACCTTGAATCAGTAGCATTTATAGCATTGTTCACATGTGTAGGTGTGTATTGAACTTGAATAAGGATCATAGTACTGTGTGACAAAAATAGCTACTGGTTTTTCCTGTGTTGAGTAAAGGAATGAGCTGCTGTTGTGCCATTCATTGCATGAGGAAGTAGGCCTGACATGTACACGTACAAACCCAAGACTTACAACTTACAAGTTGAGGGTAGTTTTTTTTTTACAATTGACGGAAGTTTCATGTTGGTGGTGGAAAACTTTGGCTAACTGTTGATCCAGATAAAGTTGGTGAGTTCTGGCATTTTGGCTGGATTTTACACGGTCTTTGCTTTTTGTGCATTTCGCTTTTTTCTCGAACATGTCAAATGTAGCCTTTAGGCATGGGCGTCGCCAGGATTTTTTCTAGAGGGGGGCAAAACATATTTCCCCCCCCAAAACCCCTGTATTTCTCAACAATTCTTGATTTATCAGTTTTAGAGGGGGGCAGGAACATTTTGTCCCCCCCCCAAAAAACTTATAAAATTAACAACACTATGACTTCCCGCCTCTTTTTTTTCCTCTTTTTTTGGGGTTGCTTTTCCAGGGAGGGGGTGGGT